GAAGGTGGACATGCTCCCAAGGCAGCGGAGTACCACTCATCCTTCGAGTCATGGGCAGCCTCTCCAAGGGCGCCACCGAATCACGCCGATGGAGCTGAGGCTGCGACGAAAGCCCGTCGCCCCCTGTCGGGCAGATGTGCCAAAGGCAATTCACAGGTGCAACAATCCCCCGCATCGGATTTTATACTATACAGAGAGACAATAATTCAACTGAGCTTGTAGAAATTCGACAACTTACCAACATTCAAGTTCCGTAAAGTGCGTTACTGGAACCTGAAAATCGATTGGCGCCAAGAATCATACCGACAATGTTTGAAGCATTGTGCATGTCTGCCTCCTCTCAAGCTTATTGCGGTTTTGAAACGCCTCTCAAACAAGGGCAACCTTCCTCTTTGGCCCCACTGCGCATCATGAAACTAAAGTGGGTTTGGAAGTGCTCGTTGGTGGCCTCGGCAAATCGCGAAGAGTGGATTTCTGCGATCTTCGCACTTGAAGTGACCCCCGGCTGTCCTTTGAATGCAGCAATTGACAAGGTGTGCGCGAATCACGATTGCATTAGCAGAAACGCCATTTTGGCGAAGGCAGTTGTGATTTCATTCTGCATTAACTGACGAGATTGCAGTGACTGCGGCGGTAACAAAGCAGCTGTGCTGGCATCAGCCAATGTCGAATAGCATCAGATTTGGCATATCAACATGACGTTTCTTCGGCGTTGTCCATATCTGAGCCAGTAGACGGCGTCATCTCGCAGATCGCCCGTCACTTTACATCCTTCGACTAAAGAGCACAGTCCACTCTGCCGCGTGCCTTCCGAAGCCCCCTGCCTTAAGCAGGCGCTGGAGGACATTCTCGCCCTACATTCACACTCAAAGCTCTCTCTTAATGAGAACGGCATCAATCATTTGGCAGACTTTTGGCACCGTAAATTCACCGTCACACCGGCATCTCTGAACGAGAACACTGAACTCACCGCCATTGCGTCCCTTCTTGTGCATCAGGTCAGCGAAGGTCCCCCGTCTCACCCCGGCGTCGACTCCATGCGAATCGCCATGGGGGACCTCGAGTTTGTATGCAAAGAGATACAAATTCTGCAGGAAAAGCTGAAGATGGCGGAGGCGAAGCTGGATTATGTTCAGATGCAGCCAGCGCGCCGCGCCGTGGCTGGGCTCGTCAGCGCCAACAACAGACGCATAGAGGTTCGCACTCAACTTTCCCCATTTGGGCCTTGGCTTTCAAAGTTGCGGAGCTGTTTGGAGGCCTATTAGAAGGAATCGAAAAACAAGAATTGAACCTGCTGATGCTCCACAAACATAAGCGTGGATGGAAAAGCACCCTTGGACATTTGTATATATGGAGGATCCGAATGGAAATTGAAATGCATAAACATAGGATGTTCGATATGCTGTGTCATGGATTACCTGTGCACTGGAGCAGTGGGGGTATTGGCTTCCGAAAAGAGCTGCATGTCCTGGATAAAAAATAGGACAGGGTGCAATATATCCTGGATATCGGAGATGGCATCGGTACCATATGCTGGGATATGGCGAGGGCATGGGCGAGGATATGGACATTTTCCAGGAAACAACGGCCATATCACAGGATACGACCGCCGTATCCTGGGATATGGGGGCCAATAGCAGTGATATGGCCATAGTCCTGGATATGTATGTCCGGGATACGCAAACTTTTCCTACAGGGTGCTGCAACAAAGCCATCAAACGCATTAGAGAAATTGAGCATTGCGACTTTGAACTGTGAATCAACTCGTGACCTTCGCAGCAGAAGCGTGAATGTGCATTTTGTGATTGACGCACATGGTGGACCACATTCTGGAACAAGATTATCCGGGTACCATGTGTGTATGGTCGACGCAGTTCAACAACACAGCGCAATGGGATTTGCATTGTCGAAGCCAACATAAGGAGATGCCTCTGACCTCTACTCTTGAAGTGACAGACAAGCAGGCCTACAAGTATGCTGCCACATACGGGCGCGGAATTCTGTGCCTTCTTCTGCCGGCGCGAACCCAACGGCCGCAATTCACACACTGGCAAGCACTTCTTTGAACAGTGGCAATCAACCACATGGCGTCATAAAATTTAGAAACACCAAAACGAAGGAGGGAAAAGAGGATTCCAGGTTGCCACTCAGTTCCACCCCGAAACGGGAACATGCACCGATGCCAAGCCCGTGTCAGGTACTTGCATTGAACGCATTCCTTTTCGCAGGGCCGCGGAAGAACTGCGGGGGGCCGCTCGTCGCGGACACAGACCCGGAGCGCGGGCCGGGAGTGGAGCATGGAGGTGCCTGTCGTTGTCCCCACCGTTCGGCACATCCCGTACGAACGAAAATTGCAAGTCAATGCTGGCGGACTCTGCAGGAGCCCCCGGAGTCCCGTGGGGGCCTCAGCGAGCCCCGTTCGCAAGGTGAGTGCCAGGCGCAGGAATTTTGTTGTGAATGTCCTTCAGTAGATCGCCAAGCAGGTCTGCAGACTTGCAAACAATGCACTTTGGTGTGTGCGACTGAATGTGCGCCCCACACCATGAGTGTTTCTCCATCAGGGTGGGCAAGAGTTAGTTGGACGGTCCCACACCTGTGCAACTTGCGATTTGTTATGTCCGTGTTGGCCATTCTCGGTTTCTTTGCCTGCGCATTAAAAGGGACGGCGCAATGCCAAAGTCTTTTCCACCATCAAAGCGATGAGCAGCCACAAAACTTGCCCAAAGAGATGTTTCTGTGCCACCTTGCTGTGCGGAAGTGGTGTGGCAGACGTCGAGCCATCCATCCCGCGATTGACCACTCTAGCATGCCTGTGGCAGCCGTAGGCCTCGTTCAGAGGTACCATGAGCAAAGAAACTTGTCGTTTCGAGGCCCCGTGCACCTGTGCAATTGCGGCAGTGTCCGATCCAATGAATACAGCCAAAGCTCGCTCCATTGCCAAGGCGTAGATTTCATGTCGCCCTCTGCGACATATTCACAGAAGAGTGCCCCAAGCGACCGAAAATCCCAACATTTGTTGTTCGCAGTCCTGCTGCAGTCGCCGACAGAGCCACAGAAGGAAGAGGGGCAGAGCCCGGGCGCGTCAGCAGCAGATATCCTCCTTGCTGCACTCAGGATTCTCAACTACCCACCTGGACGAACATTTCTACGGGCCCACTTTCACGCCAGGTGAAGTCCGCTTTGATTGTGCTCGCCACACGACGGGCCACGCACCTGCGCATGCACCAGAGTGCCCGTGGCTCGAATCCGCACATGTTTTGTCCCAAACCTGTTTCGTCCATTGGCCGAGCGGGACTGCGCCTGCAATGGAATCGTACACAAAGCGATGACATTGGTTTGGGTCGTTTGCGTGCAGGGAGATGCGTCTGCTAGTGGCGCCGGCAAACGGCGGGGCCCTTGCTTCAACAAAGCCAATCGATATCAATTTCTGGTCAGGTCTCTTCTTGAAAACGGAATCGCGCCTTGCACCGGGCCTCGTTCCTGGCGCAACGTTCGCGACGTTGCCATGCTGTGAAGATAGTTGAAGATTAATCAACGACAAGCGAACGCACTGTGCAAGCAGCGTCGGGCAGTGCAAACAGCAAGGCCGGGTGATTCGGGCCGCAGTGGCGTGGGAATGCAGCCGCCGTAGCTCGGCCCCACTAAGTTGCAAGTGAGCAAGTAGAAAGGGGGGCGGCCCTGTTCGGGGAATCCAGAACTGGAAGTCAGAACCGTTTGGAGCGCCGTAGGACAGGAGTAGGAGGGGCAAATGTGCATCATTGTATCTCATCATGCTGAGATTGAGAAGCACATTGGGAATAAATGGGATCCGTGAGGCGAATCCCGCTCTCTGTGTTTGAAGGCAATGAGAGAATGTATAAATGTTAATCGTGACTCAATTCATGCAGATGTGCGATTTGACACCAGATTTGAAACGAACGACATGCAAACATATTGCCAAGATTCGCGGCCCCCAGGTCAACTGCATGGCCCCGGTTCCAACGTTTGCGTCTGGTTGAGCGACCCTCTGTGCAATGTTCGAGGTGCCGCTCGTCAAGGTGCTGGCGAAACTCCCCAGTTCCAAAGGTTGCCAACATGCGGGTCGGCACGGCTGCATTACACGCTCACTCCCGATTCTCCCACAAGATGATCAATTTCCCGTTTAGGCATACAACAGTAGGTCAACAAAAGAGTCCGCCAAGGCTCGACGGTTATGCTCTTTCCTGTTGTAGTTTGCTGCTGTAATACCGCCACCAACACACAGCTTATCGGGGACTTGGTATTGTGCGAGTATTATGCTCACGCTCATCTTTTTCCGTTGGCCGGCCGTCAGCGAGTACCCTGATGGCGATTCATTGCCAGTCATATTTCACAGCTTGTGCCATGCGTATTCGTAGTCCTGTTTGCGTCATACATAGTCGAAGTCATACTTTGCACAGCATTACCAATGGATCAATCGTGCAGTCTCGAATGTAGGCCATGGAACGACAAGTCTTCACCTTTGCACCTTAGTGGCGCCTGGTGGCGCCATCAGGCCGCTCCTGTATCGGTTTTCGGGCTGTTGCCCTCTCGGCCGCAGCACTACAGGCGCGGCAGTGCCAGGGCGTTGCTGAGAATAACGAGCTGCTAGGGCATCACTGATGCGTCTGACGGCAGGCGTGCTGTGCTTGGTGCATGCCAATCAGAGCATGCCGAGGCCCTGATCGCATCGGCCAAGCACCAACATATAGCCCAGGAGGCAACGGTTGATAAAAATTCCCACACCTCGAGCCCAGAGGGATGGCGATCGCGCAACCCTTGTTGCGAACCCTCGGTGTTGGAGCCGCAGGCCACGGCATTGCCCCAAACGCCAGGCAGCCGCCAGGCTGGGCAATGACATGCTTGCAAGCTTCCAACGTAATGTTACAGACACTCCTCCGACCATCCCTTCGCCATCTCAAAAATATGCCATTTCGGGCCGCCCAGCCCCGCCGTCCCATCGTACACTTTGTGAACCCCTCTTCGCCGGCAGCTCGTTGCAACTAGGCGGAGCCAATGGGCACCTTGTATTGCATAGATTCCTTCTGTATCTGCTGGCAGCTCTTCTCCACGAGGTCCAAGAGACGGGCGATGCTGGTGGACCACCTGTTCAGCACGTGGTCGGGTCGCTGGGGCGAGCCAAAGCGCGCCACGCCTGCCGGTCGGTCGATCTTTGCGTACACGGCTTTCTGGACGACCATGTTGGACAGCTCCTTCTCAGTCTGTGCATGGACAAGGAACGTTTAGTGACATTCAGCATCGAGCGGCGGTGGTCAGAAATGGGTCGTCCGAAATCCGATGCTTTTGCATCCGGCTTGACATGACAGAGCAATTCCCCTGCACTTGTTAAGTGACGTTTGCATGCGTTCTTGTCAACATTCGTTCGTTCCCCTTGGCAAGTTGAATGCGTGGCTGTCATCTCCGATCTCAACTCAGCGCACAGCCAGGACTGCAAAACTGCCCGATTGGACACAGCCAATAAGTGGACTGGGGGCTGCTAGATGCACAACCAGAAAGCAGACATTCAGCTTGCACAGCAGCAAGGGCTGCGCTTTCTTCCCACTCTGGCATATCTCCAAATCGGTCCACAGCCTCGAAGCCCAACTGTTCATGGGGCCAACGAACCGGAATGACAATTCAACATTTCCTGTCCTTTCTCCATGCAACTGACCATTATTCTTACTGCAGTACTTTCCACTTGAGGGGTATCTCACTGCAACCCAATCATCCTCTCTGCTGGGGTTTTGCTAATGGGCAGCAGTGACCAGCACAAGCTAGGCATCATGAGACATAAATCTGCCTCACCTCGTCAGCAGGAAGGTCGAGAAGCTCTGACAGCCTCGTCATGGTGATGCGTGTGTAGTAGTGTGCCACAACAAGAATGTTGTGCTCAGTCACCCTCAGCCTGCAGTGGACAATTCGAGCTTGAGCCGCCACGTGGGAGTACTCAATAGCAGAAGGCGAATGCCAGATGCTGGCCTCTCCAAGGAAGCACTGAAGTCTGGCTTCCATACGGGTACAGGTGCATGAGATCAAACAGTTTGCAAATTATCGGATCGTGCTTCACGAACGAAATCGGCATTCAAGCAGACTAAAAGTGCAGCGAGCTGTTTTTCCTCATACTCCACACAGGGCCACACAAAAATCAAGTCATGTGTTGCCTGCTTGACTTGTCAGTGCATCAGAGGTGTTCCACAAGTGTGCCTGACACCTCGACTTCTCATCCACCCTGAAAGATCCCACAGTCCTGGAAACCAAGCCATGAATGTTGAAAAAAGGTGTCATTGATGGCAGGCCAGTGCATATGTGTTGCAACATTAACAACGTGCACGTGATCTAGCTTAATATGCAACAATCAACTCCTGAATATAACTTTATAACCCACAGAGTGCCAAACACCAATTCCTAGCAAGCCATCGCGGTTTTTGTACATTCGGCAAACCAAAAGTGCACCAGAAAGGAGCAAACAACAATAAAATTGCATCAGTCAAGCCATCATCACAACCTGATGCGAGCGCTTGCCCTGCTATGTGAGTAGTGGCAACCAATAATTTGTCGGCTGTTCAGGATGGACAAGTGAACATGTTGAATGGACAGTCGTCTGAACCACAAGATACAAAACTATTGTCCAAGCTACGTTCCATGAGCTGATTTGAATTAAGATCAGTGGGAAAAAACGTTTCCATTCTCAAAACAAGTGCGTTCAGTGTGCAACATAAGATACGGTGAGCCAAAGGCAAGCGCCCATTCCAGGACAGGTAAGATGATGTTTTCAGTGACAAGATGCATGCCCAAGCCAAATAGGCTGGAAATGTAACGCAAAGAGCTCCCACATATGTTGGATGCGATAAGCCAATCGTCCAGACAAGGTAGCGACTGTGCCCCTTCTGCTGGAAGGGTCTTGCTGCCTTCTTTCGTGAAACGCATTTGTAACAACACATCCAACCAGGCATCTGCCCATCTGTGTATATTCATGCTGGGATCCATGCACTTTCAAGTTGACACATAAGTCATCACAGCTCTCTTCAGCTCTGACAGCAGACAATGCTGGCAAACAGCCGCATACACCAAACCTGGGAACAGGGCCAAATGGCCCAACATCACAACAGACTGATGCCATATGCAGATGGCTGAAGTGTGAAGCATACCTGAGGTCTTTGAGCCTTTGCATGCCCAGTTCGCCACCAAAAATTTCAGGTTCTTCTGCCATCACCTCATGATATTCATTCTCAAAGACACTCCAGTTCATCAGCTGTGTAACACAAATAATCAGTCTTGTTGAGGTGCTGATATTCCATCTGAAATTATGGCAGCGAAGCACAATGTGCTATTTTGGCATTCAACAGGTGACAGCGTAGGATAAACCCCAACTAACAACAAGACCCTTGGCACTGCTTGCCCTTATGATTGTGTGAGTTGTCCCATTAGTAGTGACTCCCCATGTCCAGCCAACAACATCTTGCAGCCATTGTTACTCAGTTACCGATTTCTGCTTTGACTACAATTTTCACAGAATCTATGGCCAAGCACTTCCCAATACACGATGGCAGGCTCTGTTTCGATCTGCTAGCATTTTGCTGACGCCTGGTACTTCCTGATAGTTGACAACTAGTAGCCTGTTCGCTAAAAGCTGTGTACCAATCTGGCAACGCGGCAACACGGGGTTAGGGCTTAAGGCACTAAAGCCCCTGTCTAGGGCCACAGTTTCCAGCAGCAAGACTGCAGCATGAACTGCGCGCCGTTGACGGGCAGTCACCTCTTTGTTCATGAACTGCTTGAGCATCTGCTTGTGGGCTGGCAGCTCGATGAGGTTCTTGTCTTGGTGCGTTGAGTTCAGGAGTGTCAGCTGATCCGATGACGAGGCACCCTCAGTGGAGTGCGAAGGGGCAAGGACGACAAACCAGCAGATCTTCTTCAACAACTGCACTGCAAACAGCGGGGCGCATCAGGACCTTACTGAGCCCAGCTCCCCCTTGAAAACCAGACAATCCAATGCACCAGCAGACACAATTCTGCACATTTTGCTTTGGTTCAGTGTTGAAACTGCTATCCCATATTGGGGAGCGAGATTCTTGACTATGGAAAATCTATCAAGCCTGCAACAAGGTGCTCCAATGCACTGCCAACGGCCCACTCCAACTTTGCTTTGGAGGACGATACTGCCACCCTTCAATGTTGGCACTCCATACTGTGGATGCATTGAAGCTTTTGCTAGCATGTGGGGAAGAAGCTATGATACTAAGAGGTAGATCCACATGTGATCTGAGGGTGTGCCAAATATGTAACATGCACCGCAGTACATTCAAACTCAGGATCAAGGAGATTGTATCCAGCACATGAGCAGGTCACAAATCCAAGCAAGTCCCAGACAATGCTCCTCACAACCTAGCCAGCCAGGTCCACATGAGGATAAGGCAGAGATTCTCTTGTCAATCTTGCTTGCACTGACAAAAGCCGGCAGATTGAGGCCCTTGCAATACTAGGCGATGTAGGCCATATTGCTGCATACAAATCCATCGATCACACATGTGATCTGAGCAACAGTTACCCACAAGCAGGAAACGACTGCTGATTCAAAGAGCAAAGAAAGAAAGATATGCTTGGTGCAAGGCACCATTTAAAAGCAGCTTGATCAGTCAAACACACATAATGCTGCCAGTAAAATTAATTTCGAAACCATGATTGGTTGCAATAGGTGGCTACCGCAGACAGCCACACACAGTCTGAAAAGCAGAAGGCCATAGTGGACCACTAGTGTGCTGGTTGTCATTTGACAATAATGTGCATTAACACTGGCAGGCTGTCTCTGAAAGCACTTTCCACACAGTAATGGAGCGTTTCACCCAGATATGACCAGCTGACCCCCGTTCGCCAAGAGCATATTTCGGTAAGTGTGTTCCAGCAATACCACTTGATGGCACAATAAGGGGCAAGGCTCTTGAAAATGCAAGCAGTGCACTGAGTTCTGCATGGGTGTCCGGTATCGCATCCAAGGTGCAGCAGCACCAACAAGAAACACATCGACGCAATTGAACAGAAGGCAAGGCATTGGCACACACAGAAGAGCCAACAGAAGGTGTGTGGGTACAATAGTACAGAACTGAAGGCAGTGGCAGAGACTACAGGATTGACAAAATTACACTACGGTACAGAAGCAGAACAGACATCCATCGCATTCAGACGCACAGTGCTGAAGCTCTGGCCTTGCAGCTGACCTTTGAATTGTTTGCTCACAATGCACACAGCATGCGATCGGGTGGTGGTCTCGAGAGCCCTTACCGACTTCCACTTTTCAACATCGTTGGACACAGCCTCGCTCTCATACATTGCCTTGAATGCCCGGCATATCTCAAGGTAGTTGTTGAAGTGGGCGTGATATCGGATCATGGTCAGGTAGTACTCAAGTTTCAGCTGTTCCAGAGATGGAATACCCTGCAAATGTGCACAATTCCCTTGGTCATTCCACCAGAACGGCAATAACTGCCAGGCAGAGGTGGACAATTAAATAATTCCCCGTCTGGGCCACGACAAATGATGGATCATTTCAGTGGAGTTCAAGTCACGCCAGTTGCCCAGCTGCATGCAGCACATCCCCTGACTATTGGCCATGCTGTGTCACAAGCAGTTCGCTTCAGCCGAAGCGTCACAGCAGCCAACTGCCCTTACCATCACACATCAACACTGTGCAAAACGTTCACCTCAAGGGCACCACATGACTGCCAGCACGAGCCACAGTACAACATTGTCCAGAGCCCAAAGACATCAATTTCCACCAGACTGTTGACTCTCACCTCATCGGGGGCTTCGATCGTTGTTCCCTCGATGCCAATGTCACCCGTTGTGCCCCGGCGATCTACAAAGGCCTTGGGACTGATCTTTTTGGCCAAGATCTGCGCCCTGACATAGTCTCCCTTGTCCAGACACAGCCTGGCTTGCTCGAGAATGAAAGCTACCTTCTCTGACTTGGCCATGGCACCAAATGTCTCCTGTAAGCACCAGGAAAACAGGCGATTCCGTGCGTCAACAGCAGCGACAATCACAGCACAGCGACAATCGGAGTGCCAGGACGTTTGCTGCTCATGCTGACATAGCCAAATTCGTGCGCAGGCGTGCCTTGCATATTAGCACATGCATAATATGTGTATATCAATATAAAATGCATTTTCAATATGGCACATTGTAAGCCCTGCCTTGTGGTACAATATGTTTTAGTAGCATAGTTAGCTAAATTTGTATACCAATTGGTGCAATTAATGTGAAATTCGAGCTGCACAGGGAAGCAAACCCTTCAAGACATACAGTGTGCGTCCCGTGCAAGCCATCGATGAAAAAGACATTGGGGTTCACACAAATTCCACTGGCCAACTCAATGGCCAAACCTTGGCACATGTATGGCTGTGTTATGTGGTGTTCTGTTGCACACTGAACAGAACTTGCTCATATCCCTCTCAGTATGGAACAGCACACATCAAAAGCTTGCACACGAAAGGGGCCCCCATTCATTTTAACAGTGTTGCATATTTCTTGGGGCAACCTTGGTCAGATCAACGCCATGAAACATGCCATTACATAACATAAAAATGGCCAGAAACTGTAGATGTGAAGCACACCCACAAGGCACATGAGGATAAATGGATACACAATGACACAACATTCTGCTGGCACATGGAGACGCCAACAGGACAGAAACCATCTTGATAACGTAGCTGATAACAGTAATATAGACGTTTCAGAACTGGCGACGACATAGTGACCACATGAGGAGTTCCACAGCTGCCAGCCACTGTGCCATGGCCAAGTCATGATTCCCTGCTCTGGCCCGCCAAGCTAGCAGACCACTGGGGCAGTACAGTCAGCGAAATGCGGCCAGAAGAGGAGAAAATGCAGTGTACAAGCACAAGGAGCCCCAAAGACAAACACATCATTCCACTGTTGCTTACCACAGCCACCTCCTGCAGTATCTCTGCAGCTTCATCAACTTTGCCTTCGGCTTCCTTGATGGCCGCCAGTTTCTTTGTCAGCCGGGCCCGCTCGATCTCGACATAAATCTGCGTGCATGAACTCGTCAGTCTCTTCTCCACTGCCGGCCAACACACTGCATTGTGGGCAATGAGCAGCGCCGTGATCCACCCACCTTGCCCTCTGTCACAGCTTGGAGTGTCTTTATGAGCTCCACCTTTGTGGCCTTATCTGGTGTCTTGTCCAAGTACCCTATAGCTTGACGAACAAAATTTTGCACCGCCTGCACACAGCACCCACGACTTTCGCTTCTAGCTTGCATGGGAACCCCATTGGCCGTGGCAAATACATATTAAATTTGCAAAACAACCTCCTGGGGCCATGGAACGCCGCCCAGAAGCCACGTTTACTGTTTCGCCTCGACCACAGGAAGCAGACGGCAGCCAATCTGGCCTATGCAACAGCCTGCATCAGGAGTTCTTGTAACAGGGGATAGGCCCCAGCATGCACGGTTGCTTTCAAGAAGCATTTTGACTGCGAATGCCCCAGGCACGCAGAACGGCAAATCTCCTATGTGACATCGTCATTCTGCCACAGTTTTCGGGCGCCGGGCCCCGCGCCGCGTCTGTTCAAGGCAAAGCCCTTGGAATCCCGCCCTCAGGGGCAGACCCCGAGATCCATGATTGCATCTCCCGCCAGATTCCCGTGTGCGCAGGGCCACGCCCGCGCCTGGGGGCCCACCCCGGCCAGCGGCGCCGGCCAGCGCCACCTGCCTGCTTGAGCTGGCCCCTGCGCTTGGACAGCAGCACGATCTGCTCGTTCAGGAGCTTCCAGTCCCTTCCTTGGAAGCACACGTCCAGGACGGCGCTGCAGCACGCCGTCGTGCTCGCCACATCCTCTGCCAGCCGCTTCTGCTTCTCGAGGTTCAGCAGCCCCTCCAGGGCCTCCTGGACGCGACCCTGCGTGCCAGGCGCCAAACGACGGTGGCGATCAAACTAAGGACGGCGGGCGTGGGTCGAGTTTCCGTGCCGCATTACTGGACAAGCGCGATGCCGCGGCGATGGCCAAAAGGATCGGAGCAGTGGTCGCCGCGCGGGAGTGAGCGCGGCGATCACCTCCAGCGCCAATGCCTTTAGGGCGGCGATCTCGGCGTCGAGATTGTCGGTGTCCATCCCGGGCGTCGGCCTTTCGGAGGGTGCGGAGTGGAGGTGCTCCGGGGGAGCGCAAACACCGCTCGAGCGCCGCGGAAAGAGTGGTTCCCGGCGCGACGACCCGCCTCTCTGCGCTGGACGCCCGGGGGGCCGTCTTGCAGCGTCTGCCTGGGCTGAGCACTGATCACCGGTCGCCCAGGAGGAAAATTCAACAGCCCATTTCCGTCCAAAAAACCCCTCCACTCCACACTCCTCCCCTTTAAAAAAAGCCCTCCAAACGGCCTTCTCCCGCCCTCCGGGGGAGGCGGCCACTCAGCCACAGAGACGGCGACCATGGCTCTCCGCGGACAGGGCTGGGCGCCCGCCGGCCCGCCCGCCGCCCTCCAGCACGTCTGCCCCCTGGCGGGATGTCCCCACGGGCATGTCATGCGGCCCAACCGGCTCCGCATGCATCCCATGGCCGCCGATCGGCGTGAATTGGATCGGGCCGTCGCGGCGCGAGCGGCGGCCGACGTGGTGGACGCCCCGGGGGCGGCGCCAGCAGCCGCTGAGGATGTTCCCGCTGATGATGACGAGGTCGAGGGGGAGAGGAGGGTGAAGAAGCAGCCCGTTCGCGTGCGGAAGCGGTCGCGGAGGATGCAGACGGCGCTGGCGGCTTCGCCGGGCGGGGCGATGGCGCCGCTGGAGGCGATGGGGGCGGTGCTGGAGCTGGCCACGGCGAAGTTCGCGGAGACGGTGGAGGTGCACGGCCGGCTGAACCTGGACCCCAGGTGGGGGGGTGGGTGCGGAGTTGGTGGCGCCGAACTTGGATATAGAGGCGTGTTTGGATGTTCAATGGGCCGCGGTTGAATTGCCGCGACCTGCTTTGTCCGCTTGCCGTCCTCCGTTGGGGTTCCCTGGCAGCGCTTGGCCAGAGCCTTTCGGTCGTCGCCGAGTCGACGTGTCTCGGGAAACCAAGACTGGGACCTCCGAGTTGCTGGGCTGTTGGGCATCGCTGCGAGCCCGCCATGCCGCTGCAAAGGCAGCGAAGACCGCATCCATTCCGCTGATCGAGAAACGCAGTATCTTTCGCGAATGCCGCGGCGCGCATGGGTGCCTGGATTGACGCCTCGCCGGGGCTTGGCGCTCAGGTACGCCGACCAGCAGCTCAGGGCAACGGTGTCCCTGCCAAAGGGCACTGGCAAGGAGCTGCGCGTGGTAGCCCTGTGCAAGGAGTCCCTGGTGCAGGAGGCCAAGGACGCGGGCGCGGACCACGCGGGCGCGGACGACCTGATCGAGAAGATCGCCGGCGGGTTCATGGACTTCGACAAGGTCATCGCCACGCCAGACATGATGCCCAAGGTTGCCAAGCTGGGCAGGGCGCTGGGCCCGCGGGGCCTGATGCCCAACCCCAAAGCGGGGACCGTGACCCCAAACCTCAGCGAGGTGCGGTTTTATTTTTATTATTCTCTGTCTTTCTGGAGGGGCGCCTCAGGGGGTGGCAAGTGTCGCTTGATTCTTGTGTTTTTGGTGGACTCGCATGTGCGAGGCGGCGGGATCAGCTGTGATTGGCTGTGAAGGGCGACGTCCACTGGCTTGGGGGTTGCGCTGTGTTTGGCTTGCGTCGTCGAGGTTAGGGCGACAATTAGCAAAATGTGGCTGGTGTTTGCTTTCAAGGAAGGGTTGGGGATGCCATTCAGTGGTGGCCTTGATCAATGGAAACATCGGCGGGTAAGATAGGCAATCGCACAGCATTCAGTGGACGACAATCGGCAATAATGGAGGAGGGACTGGAGGCACACAGACGGACTCGCAAAAGGGCTTCTCAGGGGATGCAGGATTGACAGTGCAGAATATGAAAGTTTGAAAGTGCATTTGCCCCCCTTGGTGGTTGATACCAATATTTGTCAGGAGCTGAAGATTTCCAACTGCTTGATTGCATATGCCAGCGAATGATGAAACTTCCCTTGCACATTCTTCTATCATTGTCATGATTGGGCTGCATTAGCAAAGGAAAGCAGGCCTGAACAGGAGTGAGCCAGAGCAAACTCTCGCAGCTGGAGCTTCCTGCACTTGATTTTGCCCTGCTCAGTTCAGTTCTGAAGATGCACATTATCTTGCATTGTTCTCGCCAGTACCACTTCCTGTTGAGGTTGGCACGTGGCCTTGCAATGTCCGTATTCGCACGCTACATGTTCGAATGAATCACCTCACAACTGAACACACCGCTGGCGACATGCAGTCTAACTGTGCCCCGGCCTTGGTCCCACCAGCATTTTGGTTTCTAGTGGCAGTGCTGAGCTGACACCACACCACAAAGAGGGGTGCTCGTCCAGAGGAGCGTGGCAGTGGTATGAGCATGTCCACACAGGCATTCGCTCAACAATTTGACAAGATGACATCTGCCCTCTGTTACTGCAAAAACCCAACCAGCTGGTTCCCATATCCAAACGGTCCTTGTGTTGTTAAGAATCCCAAAGTAGCCCTCTTTGCTCCCAAGGGTCTTGATCGAGTTGCATGGTCGAGGAAACCCTACAGAAGAACCTTCCCCCTGCTCCATGGACTGTTTGCTAGGCTGGTTCTCCTGAAATATGTGCTCATTTTTCTGAGTGCCTCCGCTTCAGTTGCTCCCAAACCAATGCTCATAAGGGTTCTGTGGGCGCAGGCGGTCAAGGACTTTAAGGGGGGCAAGGTGGAATACAGGGTTGACAAGACAGGAAACATTCACTTACCCTGTGGGAAGACCACATTCGCGGCTGAGGACCTGCTTGCGAATCTCAAGGCTATTCAGGTGACATGTCTCACGCATCATCAGACATGTCCTGTGGGTGTTAATCACTTGCATGCAAGAACTCCAGTGAGTGTGAAGTCGGGCTGAACTGGCTTACATACAGAGCTTATTTTCTCCTGAGTGGGAGTTCAGCCTGTTGAGCAAAAAAACTGTTCAATGTGGCATAACAAGTAGTCATGCTTGCCCCACCTGCAGTGTTTGATTTGCATTCCTGAAATCCCATTATTTTCTTCAGCGCAGTATCTTGTGGGGTTTGATGTGTATATTGTGTATATGTGTATATTGTTTTTTGTTCATTGGGGACGTGCTTGGCATTGCCTGTTGTGTTGATGTGCTGTGATGACTGCTTAAATCTTCAGTCAAGGGGCTCTGCCCCCTTGGTGAAGGCTTTGCACTGAAAAACTGAGCACCAGCTTGTATTTGCATCGAGTTATTTGGCCATCGTGGGTGGTGTAAAGATCACAAGGCAGTGTTGATTGTGCTAGTCGTGCGGCTACCACCTTGTCGCATTTGTTGAAAAGGAGGAGACAAATAGGCGCTCTGGACTCTGTGCGACCACCGGAAGTTCTGCCAGCAATGGGGCTGTTTGAATTGCGAGAGCTCAGTTTTCCTAAGTTCCTTGTTGCTGGCGCCGTGTAGGAATCTGTGGATGCTAACAGGCCTGCAGGTGCCAAGGGCATCTACTGGAAGACGTTGACCGTTTGCTCCACCATGGGGCCAGCCGTAAAAGTGGATTTGACAGCCTTGAGGGACCTCAAGCTTTGACAGAGTGTAGAGAGGGTTTGCCAGCCACCAGTGCTGTTGCTTCCTGGGTGGCTCAATTCCTGCTGCTGGCAAGTTTTGAGCCATTCAGCAGCAGCTCCAGCAAATGTGTATTCTGTGCTTGTGGAATTTTTAAATTTCCTGCGAATCCATGTGCTGGGCAGCCCTCGTTCAGCCTTGGACTTTGCCGTTGTCATCAAAGGAGGTTTGCAACTGCGGCCGCCTCACTGCTGTGTATCGCAGCCTTTGGCGACCACTCGTAGCGCATGCTGCACCAGTGTGAAGGCCTGTAGAGCTTGGCGCAACTCCAAGATCCGAGATCGCAGGCAGAAGAGTTCAACAGGGCTGCCGTCTTGGCCAGCCTTGTCGAGCACCACATGCGGGTGACTGGTCTTGTTGCTTCTGTCTCTTGCGTCGCCTGCAGTGAACGTGGTCCATCAGGGCAGATGTTTCCTTGTGGATCGGAATAGTGCATGCCAAGAGGCCAGGAGATAATAGTGATATGAATGAATGCATCCCTAAAGGCAACGTTGAGAGCACGACCCATTGGTCATTTCAAGTGGCTCTACTGACCTCACATCGTTTGACAGCCTGCACATGGCTTGAAATGCTCGGCAAACAAAAGGGTGTATCACAGATTTTGTTCCATGTACGGTGGGACACTCGTTCTTTCCACAGGGACCGAATGCTACGTCTCGTCCGCGACTGTCGTTTCCCTTGCAGAATCATGAGATTTTATTAGCCACGCCTGGTGCTCCAGAGCACGCTGATTCGGCCCAGGAAGTCGTGCAGGACATGCTCATTACAGAGGTGTACTGCTCACCCGTGTTCCTCCGCAGGATCATACAAATTCTCGTGGAATGTTTGCGTCTGCCGTTCGACTCCCCGTGGCGTTGTCCCGTTGTTGTGTGGCGTTGTGCACATTGTTGGAACGGGTAGCCAGTTTCAGTCAGAAAAGCCAGAATTCATGCACAGAAAACGCACAAGCTGGGCTTGCTCAACCCAACCAACCCCACTACCTTGGTTTTTAAACCCTTCCGCTTCGGAAAATTTTGCCGTTACGCCAGTTGCTCTGCACTTTGTTTTTGACAGCGTTGCTTTTACCTTTTTTATGTTGCTCCGCAAAAATTTTACGAAAAGAGCGTCATTTATTTTATTGGTTTAGAAAAAGGGCCAAGCTTCGCTTCACTTCATGGGGAAGGGTTGAAAAACCTGCGGTACACGACGGAGCCGCGCCGCCTGCCCAGCAAGTTCATCGAATTCCCCCCCGGGCGGCCAGCGCGGGGCAGCCATGGTCCACACTTACGTGCGCCTCCCGTCTTTCACGGCCCCCCCCCCCCGAGCTGCCAACGGCAGTGGGCTGCCTCCGGCTGCCTCGAACGGCGCGGATCGCTCCACCGCCGGCGGCACAGCCCCCGGCGACGCGCCGGACTCCGATTCCGACTCCCCCCCGGCGCCCTCGCGGGCAGATCCCGAGCCCGAGAGCGACGACGATTTCATCCCGATCGGGGATGGCGGAGGGCAGGGCGGGGCTGGCGGCGGGGATGCGGGACAGGGCGGGGAGGTGGACGAATCGGCGCTGCCGTGGTCGTCGGCGTCGAGGCACATCAGGAGCCAGTGCCTGAGGCTGCACAACGAGATCGTGGAGCTGTACCAGGTGCTGCAGCCGTCGGAGGCGGAGGCGGCGACGAGGGCCGGCGCCGTGGACCGGGTGACGCAGGTGGGAGCGGAATTTGGCCGCGGCGCGGGGCGAGCCGGGTCGGCTGAAATGGGAGCGGGAACGCCGATCGCGAGCTGATGAAGGTGTGCGCTTGGTGCCGGAACAGTTGGGCCCTCGCCTGCCCTGTGTGTGGGGTTTCTATTGCGATCACAGAGACAGCGTAGCCAATGAGCAACCCCCTAGAGGTTGGAAGCAGGGCTGAAGGTCAACCGCCTGTTCTTGTGCAAATGTCAATAATGCAGAAAGCAGTTCGGCACCAACTGGTGTGTGTGTGCAATCTCTTTAATACACAGTGCCAACACTGGAGTGCATAATGGTGCATCCTTGTAAATGTTGTATCCTTGAACATGTCTGCAAACCACAAGCCCATTCTCTCACTGGGGCGATATTGCCAACTAAACCACGGGTAAAGCCCTGTTCGCGGCCAAATCTGTTGTCAGAGATTGAAGAACCACTTCCTTTGGACCTTCCAGTTGATCAACAAACATCAACAGCACAATCTGTTTCCTTTCTTGGAGCTCGGGTTGAAGGCTGAAATGTAGGAAAGCTGCCAGCGTTTAAACACATCTTGTCCCTGGACACTGTGTCAAACCCAAAGAAAGCCAGAATACAGATGCATACGGGCTGTCCCAGAATGAGGGCGCGCTGCTCATGAAACCCCAGGAACCCCTGAACTGACAAATCACGAGTCGTCTCAGCTTGAGAATAACAAATGAAGGCCTTCAGTGATACAGCATGCTCTGGATGCATTAGCAGAATAGCACCATACTGACCTGTCCACAGGGAACTTGAGGGAGTGAAAGACGCTGTTTGGATTGTGCAGGTGGTGAAGTCACTGTGGCCTAACTCCAAGGCTGCTGTGTTCGGTTCCTATGCCACACGTCTGTACCTGCCCACCAGTGACATCGACATGGTGGTGCTGGACGTAGGCACTACAGAAATTGTTTCCTGTCTGAAGACGCTCGGTCGCAAGCTGGTGGAGGACAAAATTGCTGAAGACTTGCAGGTAACCATTTGATCCTGTCACTTCACTACCCAACTCAGAGGGGAATTCCACAGCTGAGCAGTGCAGGATTTCTGGCCTGGCCAGTCCCTGTCTGTGGCTGCCTCCAAAAGTCCCTTGATTCTTGGTGCATGGTCATGGCGCCTGAGATCCAGACACCTCAACAGCCCTATTGCGCTATGAGCCAAAACCCCGCTGAGGTATGTCAGGCCCCTGAAGCATCGGGAATGCCTCCATGGTTCCTGTGATGGTGTGCCAGCTGCAGTGACCAACTGCCACCCTGTGTTTGCTGGTTTTCAGGTAATTGCAAAGGCCCGTGTCCCTATTGTCAAGTTCAAAGAGAGGACAAGCGGGATACCATTTGACATCAGCTTCGAAGCCCAGAGCGGGCCCGCAGCTGCTGCACATGTGCAAGAGCGCCTGAACCAGTGGCCCCCGCTGCGTCCACTGATCATGGTCCTGAAGATCTTCCTCAGGCAGCGCCACCTGCACGAGGTGTACCTGGGGGGGCTGGGGTCATATGGCCTTACGATGTTGGTCACCACATTTCTGCAGATGCACCGGTCACGGTTTGTCGATCGCCGCGGGGAGCTGGAACCCTGCCTTGGAACATTGCTGATCGACTTTTTTCGCCTGTATGGCCGTTCCCTCAATAGCCACGAGGTAGGCATCTCATCAGTGGATGCGGGCTGCTTCTTCCCCAAACGAGCGAAGGGCTGGATCATGCAAAACAGGCCTCACCACCTGGCGATCCAAGACCCACTGAATTCTGAAAACGACGTTGGGAGGGGGTCGTTCATGAGTGCCAAGCTGCGGCATGCTTTTGACTACGCTTACCAAGGTCTGACGGCCCCGTGTGCCCCAGGCGAAAGGGTCCTTTCACGGGCGATTCGGGCTGAAGCCTGGCTCAATGAGAGGGCGGTGCCGCCCTGGCCAGTGCCTGTGGTAGAGGATGGTGATACGCAGGTGAGCTCGAAGGGGCATGGCAAGCGACGCCGGGGCAGCAGCAAAAACCAGGACAGTGCAGAGGAGGGAGAGCTGACCCCAGATGAGAGGGATCGGACACGAAAGCGCCATAGATCTGAGAGGAGCAGCCGGCACAAGGTGTCAAGAAGTGGAAGGAGGTAACTAGAAGCAACACACCATGCCTACGTGGGGAGCCACAAATGCCAAGTTTTCCTTTGAGTTGTGCGGTGTGATCATCCAAGCCGGATGATCGGTGCACTGGAGTGAAGAGGGGCAGGCGTTGAAGGGAAGGCAGTGCGAGGACAGCTTGGGGGCTTCGTTGGCTGTTGAGTACAACCTCCCTGGGCTTATGCAGCCATGACAGTGCCCCCCTTGAAAGCCAGCGAGTCATCTGCTTCTCTCTCCTGCTCATTTCTGCCCATGGCAGATACCATGTCCAACCATGTCCAACTTCAACATGTTGACTTCCGCAGACAACGCACCCTCAGGATCATTCTGAAGTGAATCCATCTCCAGATGAACCCAAGCCTGTTCACCAGGGTTGGCTGCAAAACGACCCTCCCCCTGCACAGGTGGATGCAGCTGTGGCACCTGTCGCCATAATGTCTTGCACAGCATGGTGGTACCGACAGCTGCCCATGTGCATTGGCTGGTGAGCGACATGGTTTTGCAGGACCTGGGTTCTGATGGTTGCTATCGTAAGAGCGTCCAACGATTGGATTGTGCAGTTTGATGCATTGGCTGGTGGCCAGTGTGGCTTGCAGACCTGAAGACCTGATGGGTTTTGTCTGAAGAGCATCCAATGATTGGATTGTGGAGACCGATGAGCAGCACCATGCCTTGCACGATCGCACTGCCAGAGGCTTGTTGTGTGGTGCTGGATTGGCAGCAGCACTGTGGGGTCACAAGCGAAGTGCGTTGCAACTCCTTTCATGTACTGAGCCCCTCAGTTTGAGTTACTATCGACTGCGAGCGTTTTCAGTGTAAGAGATTTCCATTTTCTGGTGCACATGGTCGATGGTCTACCTCATGTCATCCTTGTTCCAGACTGTTGCACACTGGTATTGGTGGAGCTTTTGGACTGAGATGTGTGGATCCCTCAAATGAGCAAAGGACATGACATCATTTTCAATGTCATCGTCCCATGGCATTGTTGTTCTCCAGGGTGCTACCAAGTGCTTGGGAGACAGGCTTGGATGACCACCTCTGAGCGATGTTTGGAAGCAATTGCGGCTGGATGCACATATTGCCGACTCCTTGGAGTGCACAGCAGGACTGGAGAGGCGGATGAGCCTGTTTGTAGACACCAAAGCCTCATGCCCACCCTGTGGTACTGTGGTGTGCTGACCTATCAGATTGGACAGCTAGATTGGCGAACGTCAGAAGTGCTGCAAGGAATGTGACTCATATGTCACAAAAATCACCCCTTTGGTGAGCCCACAGTAGATGCCTGCGCATTGGGACAGGGCAACTTTCACAGTGGTCTTCAGTATCTATGAGAAAGATAGAACTGCTTCGAAGAAAAGCTCAGGGAAGGCGGGGTGTTGCAGCTGCGAAAATGCTAGTAATGCTGCCTGTGGCAACTCTGCCACTGCCAGTTGGATGCTGGGATTCATGTTCTGTGTCCATTTGGTGCCCTTGTTACAAGCTCTCAAGATTATGTTCCTGTTGAGAGTTACTGTTGTGGAGAGCTGCGGGATGTTGTTCCTGTTCTGTTTCTGTGAACCACTGGCAGCAAACCAACCGAAAGCCATGAGGAGGCTAACTTGCGAGTTTCTGTACGTACTGTGGTCGAGGAACCTTATCCTGTGTCTGCTTTACCAAGCCAGGGACAGAGCAGGAAGAGAGGAGATGATTGGCTGGCTGGGCGCCGAGTACTAGTGTGTGGGGTGTGAAATACGCGACTGGGGCCTGTGGCACAGGGCATGCAGACCATGGTATTGGGGACCGATCGGCGTCATGGGGCCACAAGTTTTGGCTGAAGTCTGCAGCAGCAGGGCGCTATTGCAGGCACGCAGGAGCGCTGGGCAAGTGAGCACCTCTTGCACAGACAAAACGTCCGCTCTCACGACGCAGATGGGTCTTGTTGGCGATGGTGGCAACTTCTCATCCTGCAAAGTCGTCTGTTGTTGGTAATCTGGCAGAAATAAGACACAAAGATTTCTCGATAATGACGTAACGGCACCCAAATGGGCTGCATCGCCACCCAGCCCATCCAACACCTCGAATCACGGACTTCACAACCTTGCTATGAAGAATGAATGGCGATGATCAGGTCGAGGACTTAACTGCTTCACGGCTCCTCTCGCAAAAATGTTTGCAGGACGCTCGTCTCGTGCAAAGTGACGCCTGCGTAACACTTCCCCAACTCCGACGCCACGCAGGCCCCACGGCGCACTGCGCGGGGCCTTATACCACCCCACCCAGCGAGCACCCACGAATCCGCCCCCGGCCACCGGATGGCCCTGCCCGCCCTTCCCCGCCCCCCGCCGCGCGCCCCCTCCCGCGCCGGGCCGCGCGCTGCATGACGGAGGACCTGCGGCCGGCCGCCACAGTCGTCACCGATCATCCTGCCGATCAGCCGCGCACCCGCCGCCAGCATCCGGGCGATCGGCGGCCCAGGCGCCCGCCGACGTCCCCCGAGGGGCTGGCCCTACTGGCCAGCTGGGTGGAAGACCCGTCCCATCTCGCCGCCGGCCTCACCCGCGGCGGGGCCCGCGATCCCGAGGTGCTGAACCGCGTGGCGACGATCTCCAAGCTGCTGGCGGGGCAGGAGGGCAGGGAAGAGGGATTGGCGATCGGGGGCAGGCCGCGCAACGGGCTGAGGGCGTCGGCGTCCGCGGGGGACGTCAGGGCGGGGCTGCCGGAGGCAGGGACGCCGGGCGGGTCGGCGCGGCGGCGGGCCGCCTGGAGCCACCACGGTGATGCGCTGGGTCTGCATTGTGGTGCGGCGCCCGTTTTCGATTGTCTGGGGAGAATTCGGGTGTTGGGTGTTCTTCTGGGGCGAATGTTTGTTCAGGGGGACGCCGTGGTGTTTGGGGTTGATTGGGGGCGGTGTTGAAGCGCGGTGAGCCAGCGCGGTGAGGCGCCGGGGACACGCTCTGACACTGCCGCGTTTTGATGAGCGGGGATATGTCTCGCGAGGATAAGGGTGCAGGGTGTTCTGTCTGGGCGAATGTTTGTTCTGGGGATGTCGCGGTGATTGTTGATTGGGGACGGCAGCGGGGTGCGTGGGGTCGAGTGCGCTGGGCCCCAGGAGCAACGAAGGCTGCGTCGGCGGGCCCTGCGCTATTGAGAGACGCTCAAACCACACACTGAAAACAGTCAGCCCGACTGGAGCGACGACAGCCATGTTGGGAAGCCTTGCCCTGTCTTGAGATGTGGCCACCAGGCACTGAGAACAATCAGGCCCGGGAGGAACGAAAGCCATGCCGGGGGCGGGGCCTGTGAAATCGGCGCTGTGATGCGCTGCGCGTTGATATGCCCGGATACCGTCTCGGGAGATTGTGGGTGCTAGGTCTTCTTTTTGAGCGGATGTTGTTCTGGGGATGGCGCGGCGAGTGGGGTTGATTGGGGGCAGTGGCAGAGCTGGGCGCGCCGCCGTCGGGCCGAGGAGCCTGCGCTGTCGACAGTTGTTGCAATCATGCACCGAGTGTATTCAGGCCCAGGAGTAGTGAAGGCAACACCTGGGATCACACCTTGCGCTGTCGAGAGCTGTTCAAACCATGGGCTGAGTCTATTCGGGCCCGGGAGCAACGGGGTGGGGTTTGGGGGGGCGCTGCGCTGGTGGGCGCCTTGAGTTGATGATTGCGGAAGGGGTTTTGGGACATGGGGCAAGGGTTCTGATTTTGGGCAAGGAATTGCTCTGGGGGTGTAGTTGTGAAGAAGGGGAAGGGGGGGGAAGGGAATTTGGGGATCGGTGGCAAAGCGCTGGTGTGTCTGGGGTGGGGTGGTTGTTTGGGGATGGTGGGAACGTTCGAAGGAGGATCGGGTGCGGGCGCATGCGCTGTGATAGAGAATGGGGCGCTCTGATTGCGGCCCAGGGGAGGGATAAACGACAGGGCCATTCAGCGATTCTGGTGCTCAGCTTGGGGACTTAGGGTTATGGGTTGATCTGTTGTTGATGTGGAGAAGATCGGCTCAATGGATGGTCAATGTGGTTTTCTGTGGCTTGTGGGGGATGTGGGCAGGGGACTTGCAGGTGCGAAAGTTGGAGATGGCTGGTGCTGAGGCGGCTGGTGGCGTGTTGTGCAGGTGCGGTGGAGTGGCCAAATAACTCTGGGGGGCATTTGCGCCACCCAGGCGTGGAGAAACTCCTGGTGGAGTACTACAAAGTACGCACAGACACGTGTTGGCACCATTGCACAGCTGCAAGACAACTGCCCCTGCCTTTCACTCCTGTGAATGGAGATATCAACAGAACATAAATCGTGGCTGTTGCAATTCTGAAAAGGCATCGCAAAGCACTGCCCTTTCGCCCTATGGGCGATGTTGGGTGGTATACAAAGCAGCAGGAAATGCTTCCAAAGGAATTGTCCCCTGTTCCCAGTAGCAAGTGGAGCCCTGTAGATGTGTGCCTTGATTTGGCTAAACATGAGCAACATTTCACACCAGAGGCACCCACTCCTATCAAGACTACAGAGGGCCCTTACTATTGTTGTGTCACAGAATACATCATCAGCGAATGTGCACTCAAGCATGTTTTGCACCATGAATGTTTCTTTTGTCTTCTGGTGTCCCTGTATACTGCACCCTAGATATTGGCTCATGCACTTGTTGTTGCTCAGATGATGGATGCAGCAAGGGCAGGCCCAACTGGAAGAGCCGCAGGTGAGTTGCGAGGCGCACCATGTATCGAGTTGGTGGGCAGTTGGGGGTATGTAACCGGCATCGAACGGGTGCTATGGGAGTCTGCATTGATGGGAATGCTCGAAATTCCATTTCTGCCAGTTCCTTTGTTCGGGCTCAAGAGTTGAGAGTTGGCTCAAGTTGAGAATCTTTTTGTACTGCTCCCTGACATTGGCCTCCCCTCCCTGACAATTTGGTGCTCATTAGTTAGTGCTTGTTCATTGGTGCTCAAGAACCCAACAATGTGGCCATATCAAAGCTGTGCACCAGAACGCCTCCAAAATGTTGACACCACAGGAGCTGAAGCCATCATTGACCTTGCCAAAAAGTCCATACCTGGCAGCAGCAGATAGTGTGCATGCAAGTTTTTGTGACTGCTGGCTGTGTGTGTTTGCATATAGCGCCAGCATCATCCTGGAACAAGTTGCTCGTGCAATGGCTGTGCCCTCAACCACCGGAGTGCCTCGAACTGCAGAGTGTGGTCCAGGTCTGCCGTTCAAACGCTGGAGTTGGGGCTATGGTCATTGTAAGCTTCACGATGCCTCCCTCACAGACACAGAGTATGGCGATTGGAGTTCCCAAACTGTGTAGAGCATGCTGAAGGTGCATATGCCTGCCACAGCAACCACAGCAGCAACTGATGCAATGGAGGGATTTTTGCTTCTGGTCCACTCATGTGTATTCAGCTTTCCTTGCCTGGTCACTGCAATGATGGATTGACCAGCATTGTTCCCTTATGTGTCCATGCCCTTTGGAAGGCTGGTTGGTGTAGACACGTGCTATAGGCAAAGGCAATGATTGGGTTTGTGCTGCTGTGCGCTGCACCTGCTGGAAGGTTCATCGGCGTATTCTGCAAAAATTGTGGACAAATGTGATAAGTGCAGGCATTTAGTCAAACATGCATCTCCTCGTTCAGTGGCTTCAGTGTGTTCAATGTGCTCATTGCTGTTGCCATGGTTGTGTGCAGTGCCAAACGACTTTGCCATCTACTGTGCTGCGACACAGCAGCCTTGTCTTTGAAGGCAGCGCTGACTTGTTTCTGCTCTCTGCAGATGTATATGCTCCCTGTCCTTGTGCCTCTGTGGCTGTACTTGCTTCGACACCTGATGGGCAGATCATGGCTTGGCTGCCTCCTCTTTGCCATTCTCGGCCTCGTGCTGCTGAAGGCTGCAGAGTCCCTCAACAAGGAGAGGATGTCAAAACAGAAACAGGGCCTTGAAGGGAAGGTCCTAGCTTTCAAGATTCCTGCCAATGGGAAGATGCCACCTGAGTCCAAGGAATTGCTGACTGTGGTTGACAAATGCAGGTCTGCTGGTGAGTAGTTGTCATGCAATCCCCTCCCTTTACCCCATGGATGCCGAATCAGTCGGTACAGTGCAGTAGGAAGGCTATTGTAGGTATAGGGTGGCACTTGCGTGCTTTATGTGCGGGCAATGTATGAAGAACAGTTCTCTGGCAGTTCCCATCCCTGCTGTATTTAACTCTGACGTATGCTGGCAGAAGATGTGCTTGACATCTGACTTTTGACAGCTGGAGCGGCTGTGAATGCAGGCCAGTCTCGTGCTCAGCTTGTGGCACACAGGGGCAGCAGAGGTGGGACCAGGGATCTGTCTATGCCAGGCAGCAGTCCTCCGGGCAATGTGGATGTTTCGAGCCATGGGGGCGACCCTGCCATCCATGCGCTGCTAGAAGACATAAATGTTGTTAGGAGGGCTCTTGGTGTCGACCGGGGCAGTGACATGGCTGTCAGTGCTGACATTGCAGAGCTTGGGAGGCAGGTCAAAATGTGAGCACACAAGGATATGGAAGCCTGTCGTCCTTGTTATCTTGTGCAAGCAGTAGTGGAAGCCATGGTCGATTGTCTTTCCATCGGTTGAATGTTGGATGCACACCCTGTGTTGAGGAACATCCTTTTGCACCGAAGAATCAATTCGTAAATGCTTTGCCCTTTGTGGCATGGATTGCTGCCCAGCGTTGCCTCTGCCACATGAGCTCACAGCATGATAGCATTCCCACACATGCCAGTGAACACTTAAAAACAGCAGGATCTGGGTTCGACGTCCTTCCTGAGCATGGCTCAAGGTCTAGGACATATTGCCTCTAATGCTGTGCTCATTTTTGCTTCTGGTTCTGGTCATAATTCCTGACCAAACAGTTGCGCCTTTCCGTTTTCCTGCCAGGCCCTGTGAACTCTCTGGGGCACTTCTAAACACTTCTCAATCGCCTTTGCCACACTCACCTTCCTCTTCATCCAACACAAAACATTGGCCCTCGTTCTAGACCCTCCTCCCAGAGCAGATCCCACAAGCAGTCTTCCTTTGGAAGTGATCCTAATCTCCCTGGCCCCCATGCTGCCGCATACCATCAGTCCTTATTAAATCCTTGCTGTAGACTTGCTCTAAGAGCTCCCTGGAAATGATCTCAGCACCAAGCAGTTGCAAGTACCCAATTGTGTTGTGATTAGTGCTGGAAATATGTGTGCAGCAGTTAACTGCTGCACACAAACTAGTTTTTGAGGTGTCCAAGCCAACAGCTCAACTTTCCGCAACAGCATCTAGGCCACCGTTGTGAGGTGCACAGTGACCTTTGGTATCAGGGATTTGTCTCATGAAGCGTGTTCAGCAGACAAGTGACAGTGCCCAAGTGACAAGTGACAGTGGACCACTGCATCACCGCTTGTCGTGGGTGAGGATACAATAGCTCAGCAACAGCATAACGCATGTCCGTCAGGCTGTTGATGTATCCAACAAGGAGGGCAGTGCAGGGGCATCTCGGTCTGTCACTGAGTGCAGCCCATCTCACGTTGAGCGAAAGCTGTGAGTCTGCATGAATGGGCATGCCAAAAGGGCATGCCTTCTAGCTCCCCTTGGATCTGAGTAGCTGGCCCTAGCGTCGCTGATTGTTTCGGCCTGGCCACATGTGCAGCTCTGACTGTATGCAACAGATCACTCTCAGAATCTCTGTAGCATGCATAGCGGTAATGTGCTATTGCTGTCCCAGGTCGGTGATGTGCGATTCGGCGTTTGCCGCGCCTCATGCCGTGCGCTGTGCCAGCGTGCATGTGCAATGAATCGAAAGTATCTTCTCAAACATGACGGCGGCGTTGTTGTGATTTTGTGTTTGCGTGTTCTGGACAGGCTGTGCGAGGCAGTGGGTGTGCCACACGATGGCAGGAATCTCTCTTCGGTCGACGCTCTCAGCGAGAAGCTGCAAGAAGTTAAGGGCGTAGTAGGGTGCTGATGCTGCTCTGTGGCACATACCTGTGGCTCGGGGGTCGAAAGCGAATTTTGGCCATTATTCAGCAGCTGTCACTCTGGATTTTTTGCACTAAACCATCCCCAATGGAGCAGTTGAAAGTGTAGATGATGGAACGGGGACGCTTGTGTGTGACACCGCGGCGATGTGATGGGCGTTTTGGGGCATTAGCCTGGAAGACGCGCGATTCAATTATGTCGCGGCAGTGTGCACAGTGTCTGGTGTGGTGTGAGCACCAAACTCCAGAAGCAATAAATTGGTTCTCCGTGTTTTCCATTTCCATGTTTTGTGACCAATTCCGTTGTCCAATATTGGACAGAAACGTTTGTGGGGATTTGGCAGCTTGTCAACGGGGGATCAGTCCCAGACTGTGAGTTGGCTAGCGGCTGGGCTGGCTCGGGCAAAGCAATCTTGTGTAAAGGCGAAACTGTACGATGGCGTCTATGCCAGCATTGGGTACCTCTTCAACCCACCCTCAACATCCTCGCCCACCCTGCTTTGCTACGACCCGTCCTGCATCCATCAATTGGATCAATGGAATTGATTGATGTGTGCTAAGATTGGAAAATCGCGTCTCCAACAGGAGTCGCTTTTGTTGTTATGAGAACGAACATGGCCCGGCAGCGAACTTGTTGCTTTTGGACTCCAAAGATTCCCCTGTTGTCTCTGAGGGGACACAATATGTCGATTTGGCGTGCGTAGGTCAGAATGGATTGATGTGTGCGCCCCGGCCCACCCCCCCTCCTTTATTGGCGTCCTTGTACGGTGCCGTCCTCAATCAGCAACATTGCCTATACCACGATGCAACATTAAGGCGCCACCACCGAATTCAAATAGCCAGCATTAATAGAGGTTCAAAGAATGGGATACCTGAAATGACGGCACGCGATGGGGCCAACACCGGAGACAGTTATTTGAGTCAATTGGGAGGACTCTTCGAAGGTGTGCGCTTCAGGGTTTCTTCGCATGCCATGGCTCGCTGACTGATAATAATAGGGAAGGCACTGTTTTGACTCTTGTCAAGCCTAGCTGAGTCAGCAGTGGTATCGCTCAAGGACGCGTAGACAACGGTGGTGTGGATCTGGCAAGCCCAATGGGAGAATGGAATTTTTCTCGGGAATATTGTTTGGCTGCATAGTGGTCGGTGGTGCCGAATGGTAAGCATGCAATGGGCAGCGGGCAAGGCCGGGGGCCAAGTTTTCAGCTGAGTGCATTGGGCCGAGTCGTATTGTGATACCCCTGCCAAACGCTGGAACAACGTTCATTGTACTGTTGATAAGTATTGTCTACTAACCTTCGCGGTACTAAATGAGCCCTGTCTGGATGTCAAAGTAAGGATTGGTATTAAGACATGGGGAACGGTGTAGGACACAACGGCGAGTGAGTCCAATTTGGCTCCACCAATAGAGACATTTAGCACCAGCGCCCAGAAACAACAAGGCGGACAAAATGAGAGAACAACAAGCGTCAACACATCATACCACCATCCAATGTCAAAGATTGGTGTCCAAATCAACCCAACAATGAGAGTAGCACAGAGCCCCAAAAGTGAGAAATATACAGTACAATAGCAAGCCATAAGGCCCGGCAAACAGAGCTGTTCGCACGCCACCAGCAAGCCAGAAACACCAAAAGAGCAAAATGAAGTGGCAATGCACAACGTTCTGCAAAGTAGCCCAGTTCGGAGCTCCTTGAAACTTCCGGCTCTGTGTTGCATTCAATTGGTTCCAGAGAGCACTTGTTGGCAGGAAATCCTCCCTTGGGTGGCTTGTTCAACAAAAAGATGACGTTGAGATGTTTGAAAGCAGCATAGATGTAGAGTCGCGTCAAGATTGAAGCCTCAACGAGCATACGGACCAGCTCCATTTCCGCAAGACCTCAGGTATGGACCGTTGCATGCGCTGCAGGTTTACACCACCCATATGCAAATGTTGCAATCCTGTACAATGGAAAAAGTTGCACTTTCAAAGACGCTGACATGGCTAGACGCTGGCGTGGTGTTCAGAAATAGGTTGTCACAACATGGGACAGAAAATGGCCAACTGAAACTAAATTGAATACAGTGCACTGAAATGCGCAACAGGCAATACATCAATGGTTAGGGACTCCGGTCAATGGTCCAGACAATCTGCAACAGGAGAAAGTCACCCACCTGGCTTGCGCACGGCATCCCACTCCGCCTAGGGCCTACCACACACAGCTCTCAGGGTGCCACAAGCAACCCAAGCATACCAATAGAGCATGGTGCGCTGGCAGGGGCGCGGCTGTGGGCACTGGCTCCTAGAGCCCTCCTGCCTAACCACAAGCCAGTGCCCGCAGCCGCGCCCCTGCCAGCACACCATGCTCCATTGGCGTGCTTGGGCTGCTTGTGGCATCCTGAGAGCTGTGTGTGGCAGGCTCTTGGGCGGAGCGGGATGCCATGCGCAAGCCAGGTGGGTGACTTTCTCTTGGTGTAGCAGGCATGATGAAGAAGTCTGGCGGCACGGGAGAGCATGGCCTTGTCGTCCTCTTCCCTTTGGGCGCTGCTGTCCCCAAACCCGCAATATGGCGCTCCTTGCAGTTTGCAGTGTTGCTTTAACCTTGCATCGTCTGTGGGGCTGATGGGGCTAACTGGGAGGGCCTTCCAGTTGGGATGCAAAGCCCGTGTTGCAGAGCGCTGACGCTGTGCTGTTAGCAGAAGCCATGGATGAACAATCGCATCAAGGTGCCGATGGGCGTGCTCCGGTTCCGCAAGACCTCAGGTATGGAGTGTCGCATGCACTGCAGTTGTACACCACCAAGATGCAAATGTTGCAATCTTGTAAAATGGAAAAAGTTGCACTTTCAAAGACGCTGACATGGCTGGCTGCTGGCATGGTTTTTAGAATAGGTTATCACAACATCGGACACAAAATGAGCAACTGAAACCAAACTGAATACCGTGCATTGAAATGCGAATTGGACAATACACCAATGGTTAGGGACTCCAGTCAGAGATCCAGACAGTCTGCACCAGGGGAAAGTCACCCACCTGGCTTGCGCACGGCATCCCGCTCCGCCCAGGGCCTGCCACGCACAGCTCTTAGGATGCCACAAGCAACCCAAGCACACCAATAGAGCATGGTGTGCTGGCATGGGTGCGGCTGTGGGCATTGGCTGCTGGGCGGGCATGATCAAGAGGTCTGGCGGTATGGAGGAGCATGGCTTTGTCATCCTCTCCCCTTTTGGGCGCTGCTGTTCGCAGACCCGCAATATGGCGCTACTTGTAGTTTGCAATGTTGCTTGAACCTTGCATCATCGGTGGGGCGGATGGGACCATTTGGGGAGGGCCTTCCCATTGGGTTGCAAAGCCCATGTCGCAGAAAATTGACGCTGAGTTGTTGAGGGACCCCATGGATGGATAATCGCTTCAAGGCACAGAGGGCCAGTTCCCTTTTTTGTAAGGGCAAGCCTCTTGGGAATACCGCACCACGACAGTGACGACAGGATGGAGCAGCGTGGCATTGCTGACTTTCATCTTTGGGCACCTGCAGGCAGCAGAACCCCATAGTCGTTGGGTAAATTGTCATCCTGACTACACAAACGCGAACACGATGCATGTTCAGGCTAACCGAGCGTTCGCGAACACGATGATCACAAAGGGAGATCCGCCGCCTACCGCACTTGTGACTGCTTGCTCATCAGCTGTGGTGTCGAGGAAGGCACCTTAGAGTAGTTAGAACTTGGGCACTTTTAGAATGGCCGCCATCACTTGAGAGCAAGTCCTTTGGGTGGGGAGCGCAAGGCATCTCAGCAGCCACCAGTGGATGCCAAAAAGTGCTACAGACGGGAGAGACCAAAAGAATGCAAACCCACGCTACCTGCGCTGCAGACTTTGGCAGCATGGCGGATATGGCGCGGCGGATTTGGCGCGGCGGATTTGGCGCGGCGGATTTGGCGCGGCGGATTTGGCGCGGCGGATTTGGCGCAGCGGAGATGCCCAGGCGCGCAAGGTAGACTGCAGAGTTCGATTGCTGAATTGCCGCTCAGCAGATGCCAAGGAACTAAAACTGCGCGCCTCGGCCTTTATGCTCCCGGACATCTTGACAGTCGCCGATGCACGTTTGTGAGGCAGAAAGTGAGGACGTCGCTGCTTTGGCATGGCTCTCACTTGACTGTGCTTCGAAATAATGTGCCCTCAGCACATCATGATGATGGCAGAAAAGTCGGACGCCGCAAGAAAAGTGTGTGGGAGCACCAAAGCGTTGCGTAAGTGCGAGCGCGAAAACGCCCGTTGTCGCGCGGGTCAATTGTGCCTACTTGAGGAAAGGAAGTCGCGGCGGCACGCGAAGCTCACCGCCGCGAAGCTCAGGCGCGCTTGCAAGTTGCTGATACACGAAGGACGGGACACGCGCCAGCCTCGCCGTAGTGGTCAATATCCTGAGGGCTCCCCTCCGCGAGCACACATACCCAATCCGTGCACGCACAGCGCCTCTTCGGCGCAATGCAGCCACCGCCAGGATGCTGGAGGCTGCTGGCTTCGTGAAGTCCTCGCTTGCGACGTCGAAAGCCAGTGCTGGGCTTGAAGTCAAAGAGGGCTGGAGGCCTGTAACTGAGAAGCGGCCAGACCACGAGGGCGAGGGGTATATATACCCGAAGGCTCCGGACGTCTCGGTCGCTATTTGCCCGGGTCAGGCCGGCGTGGCGTTCCGGGTCAAATTCAAGGGTGGTTTGATGGATCTTAAAGTACGCTCGGGCGATCAAAGGCGTGCACAAGCCACACGCCGGGCACGCGCTAGGCACGCGCCTGCGTGGCGGTAACCGCAGCTGGTAGCGCCGCTTGGGAAAGCCGGTCAAGGAGTTCCATTCCTGGCTGTCGGACGTCAAGGGCGACAAATGAATCAAATTCGTCAGGCTGATTACCTGTCATCGTCAAGAAATCTTACATGCAATTCGTCAGCCGGAGGCAGCGCCACGGTCTGGCTGGGAACGCTGAGCCTGTGACCTGTGACCTGCAAATTTCATGTTTCTTTGTCGATTGCGAATGGCACAATCTAGAAGACACATCAAGTGCTAAGGCGAAGAGGCGGGCATGAAATGACTTGCATTTCGGTCGAGAAACGCGTCGCCCTTAAGGGCGACCCAAAATTTTGTGTCCAATGAGCTGCCAAGACACGACATTTTTGATGGACACTGCATCAAAAAGATCATCGTGTCCATGGGAAACACCCAGAGGCTAGGTCAGTTGGCAGGCCGCTTGCCTTGGGTCTAAGAACGGTATTGATCCAGTCATTGAAATACCAAATGGCGTTCAGAATTGTAGTTGTGAGCGGAAGTTCATGTGTGCCATCCTTGCACGAGAAGGAAACTAGAATCTTAAAATGTGGGAAAATCTCCCACAGCTGAGGAGACGGGTGTAAGTAATATCGGACAAGAGGCGTTGGTGTCCCGGATGCCGGTGCTCACACATCAAAGTGTCAATGAATCTCTTGCATCAGCCCCACCAGCACTGCATCAATAATTGCCGAACTTCCGGGTGCATGAATCTACGGTAGCTGTGCAACAACACGTTTTACTTTTGTTCCCGCTTGCCTACGGGCGAAACACTTTCTGTGTGCTGTCATCGACAAGCACCTCTCGCGAATAGGGAATTGATGGATTGTGGGTTTCGTTTGTGTTGTACATTGGATTTCAATGAACAAGTCGTGGAAAACTCTTTGCTCGGGCAAAAAAGAAACGACTGCCACCTCCACGTGTTGCCATGTAAAGTTTTCATGATGGAACCGCTTCCCAAGGCTACCATCAGCGCTGGTAGTGAAAATGCAAACACCTCCACGTGGCAATTTCTTTTCTTGACGGATAGAAACGCAAATACGTACTGTGCGCCGTAAACTCCATGTTCCAGATGCTTTGTGTGAAGTCGCATTGAAATTCGCACCCTCGTATGGCGGAAGTGCTGCAGATGTCTCTGGAGCGCCTCATAGAGACGGGAGCTGCTAGTGTAGATCAAAAGTTCGAGTGATATTGAATGCGCCAGATATTCATATGGTCATGCAGCCGGGGCTCGGCCAGACAAGCAACATTTCGCTCCCTTGGGGTATCAGCAGAAGCACAGGTTGCCGGACAGGTCAGCTCGGTAAATTTTCCCAACTTTCAAAGTTGGTCCTACAGATCACCAATGCTGGAGCGGGAGTGCTCTGTGCTGTAAGCTTACTCGGCCTCAAGGCCGACAGACCCCGTCCCCTTCTTCGCGACGTCCAGCCCCAGCGTCAGCACCAGATGCATCGCCTCCCACACGATGCGAATCGCAGCCTGTGAAAGACGGCGCCGACGTGAAGATTGGCTCAGAAACAAAGGCGACGTCTGGGACGCAATGGAGTTGTTCTTGGGGCAGGAACGTGGAGATACCTTTTCCATATTGGGCAGCCGCTGCTCCTCATGAGGCGGGACCGCAGCAGGGCCAGCTGAAAGGCTCGCCTGTTGGCTGGGGCAGGCGTGGGTGCGGGGATGTTGGTCACGGCAGCTGTCGTGCTGGGAGCCTGGAATCCATTGCTGTGACGCATGCTGCGTGTTCCCAACTCAGGAATTCCGAACGATTCCTCAAAGCTTGTCATTATGGCCCACCTTCCCAGTCCGTACTCGGAGAGTACACTTCATACAGCCTTGGCCTTTGGCGCTTTTCACAACTGATGGCAACCACTATTGCAATAGTGGTGAAGCCAACTGGCTTCATTTTCAAATGGGAGGCAAACAAATCCGCCGCACCTATTCAGCGATTTGGGGTGCTGTTTGAATCCACGCTAGCAAACAAATGTTGACTGCAAGAGGAGATTCTGTTCCCGTCGCCCATCAAATATCCCTATGTAATGCGAGTCTGCTCCAGCATTGTCTGGAGAGAGAACATGTCACGCTCAGAACGCACGCAATTTGTCGTTACTGGAATGCATCGAGCTTGGCAACTGCTGTCAGAAACGGAGGTCATGGAATAAACGACGGGTTTGTGTGCTCTGAACCCGAAACCTTTGGCGCTATGTCCTTGTTGAATGGCCAAAGACGAGGTGCACCAATCCGTAGTTCGTTTGCAAGGCAAGCCGCATATGCCTGGGTGGGAGGTCCTTTTCCGTGGCAGGTCCCCCCATGATGACGTGATGGTTAAGTCACCACGAGTTTAAATCGCGACCTGACAGTTGCATCATCATCGAACCCGAATGGCAGGTGCGTGCTATGATGCATCAGACTATGTCTATGCTACGCAGGCGCCCTACCCACTCGAGCCGTCATCATCTGGCTAATGTTCTACACCTTACGCCTTGCCACATTCCATGTACATATTGCACTTCAGCACACCGCAGGCCCTCCGTTTCGTCGGCCGCACCACGCCCGCCACCTGCAGGTCCGCGACTGCCCCTTCAAACCGCGCCAATGCTTCCTTGCCGTCCACGGCTGTCTCCTTCTGCCGCCGCCCCTGACATTCCTTGTTGTCCATGACGTGCACGCCACTGCATTCACAGAAGTCTTCCAGCCAATCGACAAGGCAGATGGACTCCCCGCCATGTTTGAGGTAGCCCTGGTATGCGATGGAGGCGTCCTCAGGGTGGTTCAGGCCCCTGGGCCGCTTTCCCAGACGCAGGTACTCCTCGGGCGAGACCAGAGCGTTGTGGATCGCCAACCGAGGCGCCGCTAGCACGTGTTCCCTCATGGCTCTGCCCTTGGCCAGTGTGAAGGCCGCAGAAGCAGGAACCTGCGAGGGGCACGTCTGGAGATACTTGCACACGACCCGTCTGAAAAGGGACTCGACACGCTTGTGGAGGGTGGACATGTTGAGGCTGATGGTGTGAGTCTTGTCTTGCCCTTTCAGTTGACCATCCGCGACATGGACACCCAAAGGTCTTGTTGCGTTCTGAAACAGCGCACAAGCACCCAAAAGTGAGCTGCAAGGTGGCGAACACTCCCTTCTCAAAGACACTGTGGGAATCGCAGTATCCAAATACCTACCTCTGTAATCTTGCGCATCTTACCCTGGCCAAATGGTTGCTGGCATTGGGGCTGACATCCATTGCTGCCATTGTTCTCCATGGAGGAGATCTGACGCACTGCCTCAAGTAACACATTCGCTTCATGGATAATTTCGCCCGCTCCCTGGCAGTATGGCATTGCATCTTTTGCCAACTGCTCCCATTGGCAAAGCAGGATTTCAATGTTTACAGCGCTCAACCCCAGCAAACCTCGGTACCCACACAGGCCTTCCACGCTTTGCGCAAGCTCGCCGTCCGGCACTGAACAGCCCTCCCTAGAAGCAGTGCAGTACAGCTGACGCAGCTGATAGCCCGCTCTCTTGGTGACCAGCCGCGTGTGAGTCGCAACTGCATGGATCCACAACAGAGCCATCTTCCACCCACTGAAACCATCCAACCATCCAGCCAATGCTTGCTCAACTCCGCTCTTCGCATCGCCCCCTGAGAAGTCAAGTGCCCTGGTGGCGTGCTGGAGCAGGTCGGCTGGGAGCCTGTCAGTGGATTCGGGTGTGGCACACGTCTTGTCTGTCCCGGGAGCAGCCACAAGGGAGACAAGTCCACTCAGTGGCTGCTGCGCAAAGTGCTCGAGGCATGCCAGCAACAAGCCCTGTTTGAAGGCTTGAGTCGTGGAGTCGTGGTACAGGATCCTCTCGTTCAGTGCATCCACCAGATCATAGGTCAGGGCGAGCGGCGGAGCATCCTGGGGCCATGAGAGGATGATCAGCTCCGAATCCAGAGAAGAACAAGCCGCTGTGGCACAGCGGGACAGATAGAGAAAGGGTCGGGGTTGGAGGGCGGGGGTGTTGGTGGGAAAGATTCACGTCGCAACTCACCGGGCCCAGAAGAACTCGCCTGAAGACCTCCTCCATGCACACCCGAGACGGCGCTAGCGCCATGTGCTCGCAGCTGAGCCGAGAAGCGGCCTCGCTGGGCAGGAACCTCTGCAACGAGGCGGCGTCGGTGCACATCGTGACCACCAGGCACACGGGCAGGCGCTCTCGCGCCTCGCTCAGCACGACGACCAGGTCCCTGAGCACCCCCGCGTCCGCGTTCTCCCCGTCCTCCACCACCACGACCAGCGGGCGCCCCCCGGCCCGGGTGCCCGATTCACGCCCCCCGCCAATCGATGTCCCGCCACCAGGCGGCAGGGCGCCCGATCGAGGGCGTGCAAGCCTCGTCCCCCCCTTCCCAATTCCCCCACCCCCTCCCGCAGGCTCTAATTTCAATCCCCGCTTGCCATCCCCTCGGCCATCGCATCCTCTCTCCCTGCCCCTCCCGGGCTCCCTGTTCTCCTTTCCCCCGCACCGCCGCGCCCTCCGCGCCGCCCTTCCCCCCCCACCTTCGATGGCCGCCAGCGGCGAGCACCCGTCACCGTCCCGATCCCCCATCCCCTCGTACCAGTCCACGATCTCCTCCACGTCCTCCGCGTCTCCTACCTCTCCGGAAAACTGCGCCATCATGGCGCCAATCAATCCGGCCACACCCCTACCAGGGCCCAACTCCCTGCCCCGCAACTTGGCCGCGAACGCCCCCCCCTCCCTCAAGAAGTCCACCAGCGCTCCCAGCGTGGATGCATGGTCAGACGGGTTGACGCCCCCGGCGTACATCACCGCGGTGGGGATGCGCTCGCCGGTCTGCCGCGGCCTGCCGTGGTGCCGGCGGACAAATGCGGCCAGCTGCGAGAACGCCGCCCGATTGGCGTCGGGCTGCACGGACGCCAAGCGGCGATCGATCCGCTCCCACACCCGGCAGAAGCAATCCGCCCGGGCCGACCTGCTGGCATCCGACTCGCCGTCGAACGCGCGCGGGAAGTCGCGGCCCTCCGGCCTGCCGAAGGGCCAGGGCGCCCCGGTCGACCGCCCGGCGTCCCTGGGATCCCCCTGGGAGGCGTCCCTCCTCGCGGCGCGCATGGATCGCGACCCTTGCCCCTCGGATGGCGGCGGGCACTCGCGCACCAGCATCAATTCGTCAAGCCTCCCAAGTCGAGCATCGTCCTCCTGCTTTAAAAATCCGTAGCCCATGGCCGCCGAGGCTCTCCGAGACCCTTCAAGCTCGCCACGACCACCGCAGGCCCTGAGTCCCTCGCTCCCGACGCCTGGGCGCGCGCCCAAATACTCGCCAGCTTCGCGTTTCTGGCACCTGGGGGTTACCCCCCCTCCTTTGCATTTGTTTTAGGACCTAATGCCAATAGGTCGGCAACTCGTGTGCTCGCTGTGCGGGAACAGGGGGGGGGACTGTGTTGATTCTGGGCAAGTCGCCGTTCCCGTCTGCCGTCTCGCGCCTTGATTCTCTATTTCGAGGATCCGCGCCCGCCCGTAGACGCTGCAGCGCGGACGATCAAGCACATGGCCGTTTGGCAGCTGCTGGGCACACCACGTAAACACCACAACAGTCATCCAGATGGTGCCGAATTGTCACTCGCGATGCTCACCGTCGGGCGGGCGATTTGGACGGACGCTTCGTTTCACGAACTGGCAAGTCGCTGCTGCACATAACACTTCATTAAACGCCCTTGCTGCTCTGGATCAACACCAGCCCCCTTTTTTTGAGTACTTTCACATCCCTGTAAGACGAGACTTTGTCAGTGTGGCTGAAAACAGCTGGGGGCCATAGAACCACATGGCCAAAAGCAATGCGTCAAAGATTTGGCAACTCGCCCCGCTCTTTCGCAAGTTCACAGTTTTCAAGTCCGCACGTGCAATCGTGTGCAACCCTCAACAGAGAATCCATGCAGGCCAAGCAGGCCATCATGCATTGAAGTTGCACACCCTGAGCCGCTCTTGTGTGACAACATGGTGTGCATGCAAACTGGGCGGGCGTTGGCCAAGGCCACCATGGGAAGTGCTTCTGGAAGGCAATGTACTGTGCACACACAGCTCTTGCTGCACTTAAACACCCGCCCATCTGGGCTGGTATGATTGCTGTGATTGCCAGCAGTCACGTGCAAACAATGGCCATGTCGTTTCCTGCATTTTGCCCCACTTTCGGTTGTGCGAACTGGGTGGCAATTCTCAGCTAGGTAGGAGAACACTTTGCATGGCACACCTGTGCCCACCATGGGCTCTGTTGAGCTGCGCCACAACGGTGAACAGCCCCACAATCCAACTGGTCAGTTCAATCCAGGAATGCGTCACGCTGCAAACCGCCCCACAACGCCCTCTCTGATATCCTTTTCTGTCTCAAGTCTATGCCACACGCTTCCCACAGGGAGCTCAAGGGTCTGCAGTCACCCAGCCCATGGCAGCTACCAGCCGGGTTGGCGTCTGGATAGTGTGAGCCGTCGATCAGCATCGCCATCACCCTATTCTGGGATTGTAGTTTCAAGGCACTATTGTGGACGCCGTCCTGGACGTAGGAAGAAGAATCGCCACATCAGTCCAGCGGAACAATGAAATAACAACAACAGCAGCTGATAGATGCAAAATTGCAACTGCAGGTCACTCTAAGTTCGTTATAACTGCTGGGCCAAATGCAAGCATGGGCCACCTGCCCTCCTGATAATGCTTATTTCATTGTACCATTTTGGAATATGCCAAAAGTGGCATTCGTTACAAGACAATTCAGTCATAGTGCGCTTAGAATTTAGAAAGTCTTTGTGCGCTTAGGATTTGGAAGTGCAAGGTAATAGAGGTGAGTTCCTCTGGGCCTATCACAGACACACGCACAGCAGAACCGCGGAACAGGACCCGCTGTATATTTGTTTAGGAGGGGGTGCTCCATTGTATGACATGTGGTTTTGGGATTTCAACACATCTTGAGACACGCACCGTCCATATTGTTTTGCGTTTCCGTTCCCACTGGTGGAAAAGGATCGGCTGGGTGGGAGCAAAGACGTCCCAGCCGCTGGTCCACAACCTGGCAAGCATCGCCAGCTCCTCGCCAAAGAACAGGAATGGGAGGTTCGGGTCATACGGCACGTTCTGCAGGAGTTTCGATCGTGAGAAGCTGAAGCCAGCGGCCCAGAAGCGGCTTGGAATAGGTCTGCCTTCGCTTGGGCGCCTGGACAGTGTGCGTGAGCGCAGGCGGAGCATCCCTACCAAGAGGTAAGATCCTTTCAGCCATCACGCGTTACCAAAGCGCAACACATGTTGTCTATTCACCTACAAGGCAACAAGGCAAAGTGCATTCTCTCTACAGTGAGCCATGCACCTGTGCTCCCCTTTGGCCGGACCAAGATTCGTCCACACCAACACAACCTTCCAAATTGCGTGTCATGTTCACTGTACTGCACAGTTCTACAAGCAAAGAGGCTCCTGGCTCTGGTGTACTATAACATCGGCATTTCACTGATTGGTCTTGGCCTGCGATCGACCGCAAGTGTGAAGTTCGCACATGGGGGCATCGCACATCCTGGGGATGGAGAGTGTACCTTCATGGTCAAATCTGTCAGCGCACAAGAGGGTTGCGTGGCCGTCCTCAGAGATCTGAGCTGCTGGACCTTCGCCCTCATAGGCTGGAACAAGCGCAGACAGCCTGTCAACTACTGAGTAATGGTAACAATGGAGAATAGAATATCATTGTCACTAGGATTGTCAGTTCAGCAATTGCTATAGGTTGCATAAATCTTGACATTGCTACTGTTTCAGGTAGTACTGCAGCATTTCCAGATACTACTACTATCACAGTGTCCATTCTTACCATGGCAGTTGTTGCTGTCAAATGCAGACCGTTCGCCTGCATTCACCCAGGCACAAGGCCACTTCCAGGGCACAGCCCCCATGCCCATGCGAGGGCGAGGCAACATCAGTGAGTGGGTACCATGGGCACAAGCAGAGGCTGCTCAATGAGTCACTGCCACAAAATCATGTCCTACTCAAGTCACAAATACTGGTAACTACACCTTTGAGTTGCAGTCAAGTCATCTGTCATTGCAGGGTGAGACAACACAAAGTCCAACTAAAATTGGGACACATGCACTAATGGGATTATAAAATACAACAGCAGGTTGTTTCAATCGCTGACAGCATGGCGATGTCCCCACAAACGACAGACCTCGTACCAACCTTCAGAAAACAAAGCACAAGTCGGCTATTTGACTTGTCAGGAACATGACGGCCACAAACGTTACTCCCACCAAAACCAATGCTTCCCGTCCAGCATTCTAACGCAGGTCGCGATACTTCACACATCCCCAGGAGCACATTGACCTGTCTCCAAACAGGGCACTGAGGACTTGTCATAACAAAGTCAGACACTTGGCAAGGGTAAGAAAAACCACGCTGCATGTGCCACACTTGCCGCAAGGGTATGTGGATATCACGGCCTTGCCAAAGCTGGCCATGCTCTCAGCATCGTGCAGCTCCTGCCTCAACTTGACGTCCCAATCTTGCACAAACCGAGTGTGGGCATCGATTTGCAAATGATACCCCTCACCATGCCACAGGGCCTGGGCCAGAGCTCTTGCCCTGCAAGGGCCTGTTGCCTCTGTGTATGGGACACGCACATCCCGCACCTTGGCAGACACAGGAATTTAATACCCTGTTTGCATATAGCACTGCCGAAAGGAACCCTTGCACATATGCAATTGACCATGCAGCCTTGGCTGGTGCACCAATGGTCGATTATTGATCTGGCAAGTTTCTGACGATGTGGGGTACGATGAGTGGGCAGTATGAACAGTCATGCGTGCAGCGCCAGTTCCCTTGATGATCATTAGCCACTGATGTAACATCGTCAACTTGGCACAAATCACATCTTCACTGGAAACCACACTGGGTTGCCATGATATCGTGCATGACGCGAAGACACATTGGCCAATTTACACGATTCAAATCCATGTTATATTCACTTTAGATTCACAACAATCGCATGTTGGAAACATGCATTAGACAGTGCCAAATCGTGTTATCTCAACAATGCATTTTGTGCTATTCTTCACCACCAACGTTGTGTCAGAAGACGAAATGAGAACAAACTGTGTAAGGTCAACCATGTCCTTCAGGCCATCTATCAACAGTGTGTGCTGTGTTTGTAACAGCAACAATGATACAACTGGAAACCAAAGCAATTGGCTGATGTCCTCACCTGCATCTTCCATCGTGACCTGGCCCCAGCAATGCGAACAAATTCTTCGTCTTCCTCTGGATGCAATTGCCATGCCACACCAAAGCGCACCAAATCTGGCTGTGCTGCTTTCTCAAAGGCGTCCTTCATCGTCCACTGGCACTCTGCATCTCGATACGCAGGAATAGAAACAAAAATTGCATTTGCCAAGTCAGGGGCACTGGAGCAGGCACTGGAAGGACTGCTCACGGTTTCATGTCCAGACAGAGACAGCTGGCCGTGGGCTCGGGGCCTGGGGGCTACCTGCTGATCATCTGCAGCCTTTGGGCAATGGCCATCTCGTTCCAACTGTGCTGCACGTTTGACGGAGGCTGCACGGGCACCTGTCCCAGATCCTTCCCATTGGTCTTGTTGATTGTGCATCGTCCCAAGTCCTGACGCTTCTCCTCTGTGGAACCACACGGTCATCGCATACCTTGGGAGACAGGAGCCAGCCATCAGCAGTTGCAGTGCTGCAGTCATGCCCACAAAGCTGGCAAGCGCTTTGCTGATTTGTACATTTGCACATTTGTACATTCGTACATATGCACATTTTGCCGTTTTGCGCCAGACACTGTTGCAGCAATTACATAGCTTGACTCGTAGCTAGAAGCCAGTGTTACATGTGCTGATAGGGCACAGAGAATGCGCATGTTGTTGCAGATTCGATGCACCATTCAAATGGCCATGTCCATTGCCTTAAGGAGGAAGTTGAGGTGGATGGTTAGAAGTGGAATACCAAGAGAGCGGGGGGGCAAGAAGCATGGAAAAGAAAATTGTGGCTGCAGTGGGCGTTACCTTTCTCTGTAGGCAGGCAAAACCTCATGTTCCAACTTGCTGAGGAAAAGAAGCAATCTGTTTGCGACAGGCGCAACAAGAAATGCCTTGTCGACCCCCCTGCCACTGATAGGCCCTGGATATAAGCACAACTGGCCACCATCTTCCTGCACATTACCACACAATACATTGGTTACTCAGAAGCTAGTTGCTGTAGGCAGCTGCAACCGCGTGTTCACACAAACTAGCAAAGATGGGAGTGCCTGGGTAATGGTGGTATTGACACATGAAAGCTGGAATCAATGCGCAAACGCTCAGATCAACATGCAGGTGACTGAACTGCTAAGGGCACAAGCTGCATAAAATTTGCCCAGGTTTTCTTGGTCCAAAGCCTTCTCATTTCCTTGGTTTGTGCTCCAACAGTTTCTTGCTTATCCTCACAACATGGAGGGAATGATATGAGCCCGCTGCATTTCAATACGGAAGATGTACATATTTCATACAAGCATGTTGTTGCTGAAACATCAGAGCCCACTCAGACACTCACCCACCCTTGTGTCCCAGCTGGGGTTGATGTAGAAAATTGCGGTCACAGTCCTGTTGGGACTGGTTGGGGAGGTGTCACAGTGTCGAGCATAGCGAGTCCCACCGCCGGGATAGCATGCCAACTGGAATGACAATGGGCCATTAACGTCAAACCTAAACTGACACCACGCATGCAATAAGGCTCTGTGAATGATTGATTTAAGGTGCCCATTGCAGGTAAGGGAACAAGAAACATAAAAGCCCATAGCATGTGTTTTTACTGAGCTCAGATCTTAAGACAGCAGTCAGTTTTAGCTATTTTAGTTGTGACAGCCATTTTGGCCTGCATCTAGACGATCGTCCACCCCCAATGCTACCAGACATCCTCACCTCGATACGTTGCACTTATCGATAGGTGACCAAAGGTAACATTCGTCCTGCTGTGCCCATGGTTAATTAGTGCGCCTCCTTCTACACAGGCTGCAGAAGAGAAACTACTATTATGTTTTGCAACTTCTTTCATTTGATGTGACCTCCTACTCCAAAGTTGCACGTTTTAGTTTACCTGCAGTTGTTTGTGTACTCCTCTGGCAGTTGCTGTCAACAAAACAAGTATCCAATCGACAAGGAAAGCTGACAGAAGGGCCTGAAGCCCTTCAATTTGCTTCTTATCACACTCACCCGAGTTCATCTAGTCTAAGTCTTAACGATGAAAGGGAGTGCATGAGCGCTGCGATTTTGTGGCGATTGGCACTTCTTCCCCGGTCTGGCTTCAGCCACCGTATTCTGTCCCCTCGAGTCTGTCCACACGCCACACATTTCCGTTAAACAACTTTAGGTCTACGGTTTCGACGACCCTAGCAACACCAGTAATGCAAAGCGGTCTTCTCGTGAAATGACACTGTTGACTGCCATTTTGTCGTATTCTTTGCGGCAGCCCTGCATTATTGAGAAACACGCAGCGAACCTTGCAAGTCTCGCAATAATGACAATCGCTGGGTATGGTCCCGACAAGGGCCCCACCAAATCCAACACGCTTTGGGCATTGTGGTGAACCACCTGCGCACCTTGGCATCACTCCACTTCTCGTCGCTCACGCCTCCCCCCATGCCTGCTTGCTTTGACTCCTCCCTCAGCGACGCCTCAACTTCCGACCGCAAGTCCTGATGGCATTCACCGACTTTCGGGATCAGCACCAGCGACGAAGCCAGCCACGGATCCTCCAGCACCGATGGGATTCGCCATGCAAACGCGACGCCCATTCAACATTCGATACCTCCAGAGCCACGCCAAATCCGATTTGGCTCAACCACAACTGCATTCGTGGGCATCTCCCTTTGTACTGATGAAGAAACAGATAAAAAGAAGTAGCGAAAGGAGCGAGGGAAGAGCGGAACACTCTCGGGCACCTGGACTGCTGCTGCGCTCCATCCTAAGAAATCATCCACGACGCAGTACCCGGCGTCCCGGAGGCCGTCCAGATTTTGATTGCCGGTCGACGACTGCGATCCCGCGGCGGCCGGGGCAGCCGCGGCGTCATCGGACACCTGCAGGATCCGCAGGATTCGCTTCTGCACGCTCTGTGGGAGGGCCGCCACGATGGCGGGGTCCATCCTGGGAGCCGAGGGTTGTGCGCCAAGAAGGCGCAGCAGGAGCAGGTGAGGCCCGGCTCCCGACTCCTCCTGGTCCGCGCAGACGATCGAAACACGGACATCCAATGACGGTTTAACGGGCCTCACGGGCCGTCAAACGTGGCGTTTATGGGCCATCAAAATGGGCCATTCACTGTTTCCTGTAGCACTCAGGCGCTGGGGCGGCGCAGTGGGGCCCAGCCCTTGGGGCGCGCAGCACCGGGCGGGTCGCGGCTGGTTTGCGCCGAGCTCGCCGGGGTTCTGTCGCGCAGCCATGGCGCGGGTGGGCAAGCGCACGAAGAAGTTTCAGAAGCGGCACCTGGCCGCGGAGGTGAAGGTTCGGAAGAAGCATCAGAAGTTGGCGAAGTCGAAGGCAAACAGGCTGTCCAAGGAGCAAATCTCCGTCGAAAGGGCGGCGGCGAAGGTTGCGGAAGGTGCGCACCATCTGGGATGCCTTTGTCATGGACGTCTCTTGCCGCTGCGGCTTATTCGACTCCGGGCGTACACGTTCCTGCCACTGGAATCGACAATTGCGCGATTATTTCTCAAAATTGTAGTATACGTAGGGCACCGGCTGTGTCTCCGCTTAGCGCCGGTGGATCTCCGTCTAGGGCTGCAGACGCGATGCCCATTGGAGTAATGCACTGCACTCGGCAGTTGAGTCTGTTTCCTACAGAAAGCCACCCCGCCTACCCTACTATGAAACCCGTTATAGTCCTTGTCGTGGTCCATTGGAGCAATGCACTACAATGTGCATTATCTCGACTGAGCATGGAGAGCCCATGACCAAAACAACAGGTTGTGTTCCTGTTTGCAATTGTCACTGCAAACGGGATGAACAAGAACCTCCCTGGCACAGCAGATGGGCCTGTAAGTCAAGAAGTTGACCACGTTTGCCACCATATTTGCGCCTGGATGTGCGGAAAACCTCGGATTATGTTCCTGAAACATGCCAAGCTCACATCCTTTGCATTCCACTAGGCGTTGTTGGATGTCGCCACATGCATGGACAGGAGCATCCCTGACTTTCAGTGTTTTGAGTGCACCAGTCGCGGCTCTGAGAGCAGCAGAGAGGCAGAAAGTGGCTGAGGGCGAGGGCTTTGTCAGTGGGCCGGCCGACGAGGGTGCTGAAGAAGACCTCCACAGCCTGGGTGATTCAGATGCGGACCTGCCAAGTGAGGCGAGCAGCCTGTCTGCCTTTGAAGACAGTGGAGATGATGGCAGCGATGCAGGAGATGGGGATGGTGAGGGGGAAGATAAAGATATGGAAGGATCAGGTGAGACCTGGAATGGGTGATTGTGATGGTCAGGCAGATGATGATGGTTGTAAGTCATGTAGTGGATATCAATCAAATAAGTGAGGCTGGAATTGACTGTGTTGCACACTGCAAGAGATTTTCTTTCCATTCATCTGTGAAATACTGCGCTGTCGTGACAATTAAACATGCTCTGTCAACAAATGCGACTGCATGAAACTGGAA